GGAAAAATAAATTCGGTGGGGAATGGAACCATTTTCCTGAGACGCTAAGATGCCAAACCATATGCTGTATTATTCCGTATGAAACTCTCTTTTTGTTTATAGAATCTTAGATTCAATTATTGATGTACTATCAAACATTTTCTCAATTTAAATATGAATTCGCCCAATCAACTGTATCCAACCATATCTTATATCTCGATTGCTATATCGATTTCATTCCAGAACCGGAAATAAAAAATCACACCTATACTAAAATTCATGATAATAGAGCTCAACATTCCTCTTCCAGTGTATAAAATCAAATAATATTGTCCGATAATGTGAAATCAAATCGAATGATATAAATTGAATCTGATTAATTAAATTTTAATGAATCGAATCTGATTAATTAAAACAGTTATTTAAAAAAACGAAATGAACGAAGTTTAAGTTAAACCCAAAAACTATAGAAATAGTTTTTCCCTAAAACGAAAATTCAATGGCATCCAATCTGAAATCCAAATAGATATAATTTTATATAATTAAAATTAAAAATAATGAATCCAAAATATAACAAAAAACCAAAATGTTAACTCCTCTATCCTTTTTAAGGATGTTTGAAAGATAATAAAAATCCCAACTATGTGCATTAAGATGTGAATATCTAAAAATTCTCGTGTGTGTATATATATACAGTGGCGGATTTACGTGCAACAATATGGAGGTATATATCTCCATTCAACTAATTAAAAACTTTAATCTTCCATACAAATTTTGTAAAAGTTTAAATAAAATCATGAAATACCCCCATAAATTTATATTTGTTCATCATAAAAATAATTTTGCCCCAATTAATATATCTGTTTAGATCCGCCATATATATATATCCACCCATAACCATTATATATGTCCATATGTATACTATAAACATGTACGAAAATGGAGGGTGAGATCTGCAATGCAATTTCAAGTTTTAAGGTCAAATCAAAATCTTAAATGCAGTTTTTTTATTTTCTTTCTTTATCTATAATAATTGGGAATTAGAACTGTTTAGTTTGGATTGAATAAACGCTGAGATTATCTATGATAATATATTAAGTTTGAAAGATTTAATAAGATTAAAATAATTTTATTTTGGATTGTATTGATTTATAAAAAAAAATATAGAAGTTTATATGATTCGAATCATTTTTAACTGAACCAAATTTTGCTCTAAATAGATTAAGTTGATTGCCACTTGCGATTGCTTTAAAGCATATTGGCCCAATAACAAAAGCCCTATCCGCCGTACCTAAAATTACCGAAAGTACCCCTACTCATACGGATGACGTCATAATTCCCGACCCTTCTGTATTTTCGCAAAGAGAAAGACCAAATTACCCCTGGGAGCGCTTGTCACTTCAGTTGACTTTCTTAACTCGCTGACTTTTTTTTTATATTTATTTTTCCAATGGAAACCAACAGGATAATTGACAATTAATTGATACATGGAGGGGCTAATCTAACTGTGAGAATATTAATATCCCACTTTAATCGAGATTAATCTCACCGTATCCGTCAACCATCCAATTAAAATGAATCAATAATAGTCGGTCCAAGGGTTGTGTATATATTACTATATTAGTGTTGAACGTTTTGATATTCAGTTCAGAAATGGTTCGGTTTTTTTGGTTTTATAAAAATATGTATCAATCGGTTATTATATTATATTCGATTCGGTTTCGATTCCGGTTTTTATTAAAAAAAAATTAGATATTCTTTAAAAAATTCAGTTTTTCGATTTTTTTTTTTAAAAAAATTCGGTTCGGTTTCAGAAAATTCAATTTTCTAAAAATAATATCGTTCGTAAATTTTGAAAAGTTTGAATCGAGAAAAATACCGTATTTTTTTATTCGGTACAATCCGGTTTTGAAAAACTATATCGAATCGTCCACCCGTGGTGTATATATTTGAGCCCCATCGATATTACTTTGGGAGAAATCACTCAAAACAAGTTAAACAAAATATTCGCATACAATGACAAAACTCGGACCGAGCCTTACGATATACGTGGGAACGAAGCATAAAATGACAAAATTCAAAGGGAGTGGATGGTTTACTTAATTCTAGTTATTTTAGAAAGATAATTTTTTTTATTAAATCTCAATAAAATTATTTGACTATATATTACACAGCATATAATGGAAACCAACTGTCCATTTATACTATTCACAATCACTTAAATAATTCGTAGTTTTATTTAGAAATTTATAATATTTTGTGTGTTATTTTGAGAATTTTAAAGTTTATATATTAATCTTAAATAAACCAATAAAATTAGGAATTTCTATGGAATTCTCCCTTATTTAATGTTATCCGAATTTCTAATATATTTTTTTATCTAAATCTTTAAAGAATATACAAAATTCTAAAATTTTAGTACGTCACCTTTAGACCTTAAAAAAAAGAAATATCGATAAACAAAAGCATATATATAATAATAAAGGTGTCAAAATTATTGAAAAATAAAATGCGGAAACGACAAATGAAAATAAACGGAATTACTTTATTGATACATCTCTTCTTGTTGTTACATTACAATGAAAATAATCCATACATTTATAGAAAAAGTTATTGAAAGAAATAAGGAAATAAATATACGAAAGAAACAAATAAGACAAAATATAATTGACACGATATATATTTCATTCTTAATTGATATTATACCTTTAATTATTATCAATCATATCAAATCTCCATATTTTGTTTTTATTTCAACATTCTCCTAAGATTGATTTTAAAAGAATTCAAAAATCAATCTTGAAGATAAAACAAAATGATGAAAAACTTTACTGTTATTAGAACAATCCATAGACACCAAATTTCATTCATTTAGAGAGTACTAACCTTTTTCAAATCACTTCGCTTGACTTTAAAATTCTAGTTTTAACTCTTTTTGTCATAGTATCTTGCTTGATCTTAGAATTTTTAGCTTTGACTTCTTTTTGTCATAGCACATCGTTTGAATCTGTTTTGTTTATTCCCTTTTGAACGATTTGGATATATGAACATCCAAAACGCAAACGAAAGAAGAGACTAAAAAATTAGAAAAAGATAAACATATAGTCCAAATCGCAACGCTGCTCTGATACCATATTGAAAAATAAAATGCGGAAACAGAATAAGACAAATGAAAATTAATAAACGGAATTACTTTATTGTTACACCTTTTCTTCTTGTTACATTATAATGAAAAAAATCCATATATTTATAGGAAAAGTTATTGAAAGAAATAAGAAAATGAAGATACGAAAGAAACAAAGAAGACAAAATATAATTTACACGATATATATTTTATTCTTAATTGATATTATGCATTTAATTATTATCAATCATATCAAATCTCCATATTTTGTTTCTATTTTAACAAAAATACTCGGGTCGGGTCGCGCCGTCCGAGTCCAAGACAAGTCCGAAGATTTACATATCAGGTCGGTCCAGTGCGAAACACAAACTGCTCTAAAAGCTGTGGTCCGAAATTCGATTCTATGGATTTTTGTACGGGTTCGGGACGGGATTTAGACTTGAACGTTCAAAAACATCAAACCTGCAAAAGATAAATTGTAAAAATACAATTAAAAGATAACCAAGATACAGTTTTTTTAAATATATGTTCGAGATACTTAAAAAAACAAAAGTTTAATAACAAAATTCAATAATATATATCTTGATTTAAGAGAAGTTAAAAATTAAATATAGTCAGAAACTCATAGTATATGTGTGTGTGTGTGATTGGAGGAGTAAGTGTGCAAATACATATATATATATCTGTATACAGTAATGGACCTAAAAAAAATTTAATCAGGAGCAAAGTTAAATTTAATATGTTAAAAACATAATTTTCTTATAGGGGGATTTATCAAATTTAGTTAAAAATATGATAATTTTATGAAGAAACTAGTTTTTTCTTTTTTAAAATGAAACAAACGGGGGCATATGTCTCCGTTCATCTCAAATTGGGTCCGCCCATATCCGTAAATACACTTAGCTATATATGTATGTATATATATATATATGTATGACCTGGCCGAATCTGAACCTGTATTTTGACATATACTTTTCAGGTCGGGCCAGCCTGTGGCCCGATCGACAAACGAACCTCATTTTTCAAGTCAAAACCGTAAATTTTTTCGGTTAGCTCGGACCGGCTAACCTGATTTTTTGGACACCTAAATAATAATAAGAATCTAATCAGAAAATTACGTGTTCAAGTCGACGACGTAATCTATTATAAACATTCTATCGGCAATCATAGATTTGTGACACCTTTCAAGGCGAGTTTTTTTTTTTTGTTTTGTGGTAAGACAAATAAAAATATATATATTTATATTATGTTACATTTTATTTGAGCGGTCATATAGATCCTATTCAAGAAATATTTCTAACTTATAGAATCTTCTAAAGTCCACACTTATTAAAATCGTTTTAAACCGAAAAATGCACTGAAATTATAGACGCGCGATTTAGTTAACATTAAATCATAATAAAATATGACTTAATAAAATCCTTTTTATTAGCCCTAATTTAATGCATTAAATTGAAGGCGGGGAAACCGCGTGAAAACACACGCGCTTCCAAACAAAATTGTAATAAAAAAAAATCGTTTTCTAAACATGCATTCTTAAGTTGAAGATGTACGGAAAACAATTCTAGACTTTCCGTTCTACGTTAGTTGAAATTTATATGATCCGAAAAAAGAGAGTTTCACAAGTGTTCTTGTACAATATATATAAGCCCCTCTAATCGTATATATTAACATATTTGTTATCAAATCATAATCACGTAAAAACATACGGTTGAAGTACATATATACAATATAAGACTCTAATCATATTAACATAGTTTTTCCGTGATAAAAATGTTTTTTTATGCAATTATAAATTAAAGTATAAAATATAGTAGATATTCTAAAATCCCATGAACTTCTATATATATATATAAGATTTCATTGCACAAGGGATAAAGAGGTCATATAACAAAAAAAAAAACACGTGTTTAAAAAGCCCATATGCCATTGCTTCAACATTTTAGGGGCTGATTTTTTTTTTTGGTAAAAAAACTATTTTAGGGGCTAACTTGTGGAAACTCCTCGATATTTTCTTACACATTTTTGGTGAAGAAGAGGGCATGGCTGCTGAGGAGCCGACGATGAAGATGATCAGAATAAAGGCCGCGACGGAGGAGGAGGAGCCGCCGCCGGTCAGCCCATTTTCGCGGCTGTTCCAGTCGCCGGAAGTAGACTCTTTCATCATCGTAACATTGGGCTGCGGCATTAGATTAAACTCAACCACCATTATCGACGGTCTAAAGCTCTCTCTCATCAACCACCCTCGCTTCTCTAGCATACCCGTACGTAAGCTCAAACCCTAGGGAATATTACTCAAATAACCCACTTGGGTCGCAGCAATTTCAGTGTACACCACCGAAAAAAAAAAAAATTTTGCGACCTTATTACGACTAATATATAACTAATATACAACCTATTACGACTAACAAACTACTCTTATTTTAGTTGTATATTAGTTATATATTAGTCGTAACAAGGTCGCAAAATTTTTTTTTTTTCTGGGTGGTGTACCCTGAAATTGCTGCGACCCAAGTGGGTTATTAGGGTTAAAACCCCCAAACCCTATACACCCACACACACACCCATATATATATGTATATATGTATGTTAAGTTGTATATATGATATGAGAAATTGGTAATGATTTTGTTGATATGTAAGAACAGGAGATGGGCCGTGGGAACGGAGGAAAACCAGTATGGGTTCAGACCAAAGTGAACGTGGAAGATCATGTTTTTGTTCCGGACATAGATCCGGACATGGAAAGTCCTGATCAGTTCCTCGAAGATTATATCTCCAACCTGACTACGATCCCTATGGATATGTCCAAACCGTTGTGGGAACTTCACCTACTCCAAGTAAAATCATCAGTCGCGGAATCGGTTGGTGTGTTCAAAATCCATCACTCGTTGGGCGATGGAATGTCCCTTATGTCCCTTTTGCTCGCTTGCACCCGAAAAACGTCCGACCCCGAGGCCTTGCCCGCTGTTTCGGCCAAGAAAAACCACGTCGGTCCGAGCAGTTTTCTCGGCAAGATTTGGTGGCTCGTTGCGGGATCTTGGTGGATAACTAGATTGGTGTTCAACACTTGTGTCGATTTGGTTATGACTATACTTACAATATGTTTCTTGAGGGATACGAAAACTCCGATTGTGGGTGGCGCCGAGCATAAATCAAGAAGGTTTATTCATCGGATAATAAGCTTAGACGACGTTAAGATTGTTAAGACCGCCATGAAAATGGTACGTTCACATTAATTCTGTGATATCATTTAATCTCCCTATACTCGTCTAACTCTCTCCCTTACGCTTTGTGCTTCTGCCCAGACCATTAATGATGTTCTTGTCGGAGTAACACAAGCAGGTCTTTCGCGGTATCTTTCCCGAAGACACGGTAATCGAATCCCTAATTTCCTTTTTCCGTAATCCATAACTAACATATTTTCTATAGAACCCGTCTTATAAAGTTTTTAAACGTGAAAAAGATCAAGAAACAACGTCGAAATCACAACAGTTTCCGAAGAGAATCCGTCTCAGAGGAGCGGTTTTCATGAACTTGAGGCCGACCACAGGGATCAAGGTACGAAATCAACCCAAGAATCATCAACTTAGACCATCCAAAAAACATTTTATTTTCTGAAAATAACATGTTAAGTTAAAACAGGATCTAGCCGATATGATGGCGAAAGGCTCAAAGTGTAGATGGGGAAATTGGATCGGTTATGTTCTTATACCCTTTACGGTCGGCTCAGAGGCCGATCCATTAGAACACGTACGTCGAGCCAAATATACGATGGAGCGGAAGAAACTCTCTCTCGAGGCGGTTTTCTCTTACGCAATCCTTAGTCTCACCATGACAGCTTTCGGATTGAAGGTGAAATTAGTGAACTTGAATATATTCAACAAGAATCCAAGAAACTGTGAGCGTCAAATTGATTCTTTGTTCGGTTTGAAATCTAAAATCAGGCACTTGAAGATCTGACGAGGAGGATATTCGAAAGGACAACACTGACATTTTCAAACATGGTTGGTCCGGAGGAAGAAGTTAGCTTCTATGGTCACCCTATTACTTATATCGCCCCAAGTGCATTTGGCCTGCCACATGTACGTACGGTATCATTCTCTCTATAATTTTTGTTTTTATTATTCTCTCCTTTAAGGTCCAAATTAAAATTCCACCGAATTAAAATGATATATTAGAATCGGCAGATCGACATGTAATTAAAAGGGCATAATCTCAAACTACCTTTACTTTTTATATGAACTTCAGAACATAACCTTTTTAACCTTTTTGCGAACAATGTGACCATCATCAATTGATCACATTGTTCATATAATTTTAAACGATATGTCCAGTACAACCAATGCGATTATTATATAATTTTAAACTGTGTAACCAATATGATTCTAAAATAAATCACAATAGTTATATTGGTTATCCGAAAAATGATGTATAGAAGGGTACGGTTTGGATTTGATGTAGCAAAATAATGGTATTTTTAATGATGTCTCAATTAAAAGGGCACGTGAAAATTTATTATTTTGACGATAATTTGGTAAATGTATAAGTTGTTCACTTTTTTTTATATCGGTGTATCTACTGAATAAAATTTTTTAATCCGTCACTATCTATACGGACATTGTACGTAATAGTATACTGTATGTTTCCCTCAACCCTAACGTACGTATAAGGCTCGAAGATGAAGAAATTTCATTAGTGCACGTGCTGTATAATTCGGATTATCGGCTATGTGGATGCATACACTTTTTATTTTGGACAAATTAATATACGGACCGTTCGACTATACCACTCGAACTTATACTAAGATTGTCTACTACATGCAAACTTTTTTTTTCCTGAAAACTGACGTCATGTTTTTTTTTTTTGGTTAACTAAGGGACTCACACTTCATTTCCAAAGCTATGCAAAGAAGATGATAATAATAGTAGCAGTTGACCCGACAGTTATACCAGACCCTCACCAGCTGTGCGACGACCTGGTAGAGTCCCTCAGCCTTTTCAAATCCGCTGTCTTAGAGAGAGGGTCTAGTCACACCGACGTGAAGAAGCTTCAGTGAGACCAAACACGCTGAAACCGAGAATAATAAAATATTTAATTTCTCCTCTTGTTTTCTCTGTTGTTGCGGCCAATAATCGAGCAGTAAGATACGATGTAATTTTCAAAATCTAATCTGAATCTTGAAATTTATGCATTTGATCGGTGAAATTATTGTTTGGCCGGACAAAAAAGACACTGGAAGGTCTTTCAAGGCGAGTTCTTGGTAGTAGAGGTAGACATTTCGGTATTCGGTTCTATATTATGAATTAGATATTATATCATATTTGGTTCGGTTCGGTTTAATTTTTATTAAAAAAATATATATATATTTTTAAGAAATTTTCGGTTTTTCAAATTTTTTTAAAATTTGATTCGACTCAATTCCAAGAAGTTTGGTTTTTCTAAAAAAATATTGTTAATCTTAATATTCATAAATGATACCGAGTTTTTTGTTGGGTAGGGTTCGATTCTAGAAAAACGTTTACCCTATTTGGTAGGACAACATTAACATATTTAAATGTGGTTGGCATTTCCAATGTATCACCCCTAACTTGTTGAATAAACCCTTCATCCGTGAACGGATCTAGTTTAATAGCACTGTATTACACGAGCTAGTACCAATAATATTAATTTTATTTATTTAAACTAATTAATATAAAATTAATTATTATTATTATTATTATTATTATATTTCGGTTTATATATATGTAATATGGATGAAATCAATTTAATATCTTTTAGTTTTCCTTCCATCGTATCCCAACAACTAATACTGAATTTTGTTGATCTTATTCTATGATACTGTGAATAATAATAAAATACTATGGTGATTTAATCCGAATTGCATTCATTTTCTATGGAAATTGGGTATTATTAAAAATTCATTTTAAATATTGGTGGCAGGCAAAGGGAGGGCAAACATCTTTGTTTTGGCTGGTTTGAACTTCAGATCAATTATAGCAAAGATATATAAATGCACATAATGGACTCGTAACAGATGTATATTTAACTTTTAAAATCGCATCCTCCCAACTGCAAGTATGGTCACAATATTAAATAAAAAAATGATAAAATTATTTGTTAAGAGGGATAATATATTAATTATTTGTGTTTGTGTATGTATATTCTAACTCGTGTCCTTGAGTAACCCTCTCTCCAAGACAGCGACTTTGATAGCCTTGAGAGATTCTTCAAAGTCGTCGCAGAGCTTACGAGGATCCGATATAGCCTTTGGATCAACCGCTGTTGAAATTGTCATCTTGTTTGCGTAACTCTGAAAATGTACGGTCAATGCCTACGCACGGAACATCAAAAGAGATTAGAGAAAAATACGTACATATTTGCGTAGTTCCATTTGAGAGTGATTCCCAGAATCGTAAGTTACGAGGTTGTCTTACGGTTTAAGTTACATCTTGTCGGTAATATTATTGACTAATATTTTTGTAATCAAATTTTTTTTTTACGATAATTGTGGATTTTGTGTTTTACTTCTGAATCGAGGGGTTTTACATATTAAATCGGGCAGTTCATTCGATTTTTGGTATTTTAACGTCGTTGTACTAGATATTGTCGTATCAACAGGTTCCGGTTTGCGTTTACGGACCAGACCCGGTATTTTCGGATGCTGGTTTTGGTAGAGGGAAGGAGGAAAGGTGCGTACTTGAGGATGGCCGTAGACGCTGGGAGCGAAGTAAGAAATGGGATGGCCGTAGAAGCTGATTTCTTCGACGGGTCCTACTATGTTCGAGAACGACATTGTCGTGTTTGACAAAGCTCTATGCACTATCTTCGCTGCAACCTATATAGATATATACACACACACACGCACGAATATATGTAAAACGTATGTATAGATACATATATACACAAAGGAACATATGTAAAAACGTATTGTATATCTATCAATGTTTTTCTTTTCTTTTTACCTTGACTCCTAAGGTGTTGAGGACGAGCTTGGCACTGAAATAGGTGAGAGCAGCTTCAAGAGATAGCTTTTTTCGATCTATGGTGGCTTTAGCCTTTGAGAGATGATCCAAAGGGTTTGTTCTTAAGGTGATGGAGAAGGGAAGTATAACGTAGCCTATGCGATTTCCCCACCTGAACTTCGATCCCTTCCCCATCATATCCGCCAAAGACTGCAGCAAAAAATGGCAAAAAAAAAAAACAGTGATTTTTTTCCTTCAGACAATGGTTTATATGTTGTATGGATTCCGGTGGCCGGCCTTAAGTTTACGAGGACGGTGGCTCGAAGCCGTATTCTTCGTGGGAGATTGTTTCGATTCCCTCTCGTTATCTCGTCCTCCTTGTTATTGTTGTCTGTCTTGTCAAGAAAACCGATATATATACACACTCAGAAGATATGATTTCGAGGAATGCCTTCTGAAAACAATATGTCAGATAGTCGTTTGTGTATAAATGTATAAACGTTGCGATGTGTAGACTGCAAACGTTACCATATCGCCTATTTAGATACCGTGAGAGGGCAGCCTGCGTTACTCCGAGTAGAACATCGTTGATAGTCTACCGAAATCACCACCAACAGTGCACAAGATTGATCAAGATCGGATTCAGAACAAAAAAACCCGATTATATATGTGAACTTGAAGAATTTTTACCATTTTCATGGCGTTCTTTATCAGTTTGATGTCATCGAGAGGAACAATCCGGTGAGCGAATCTTTTCGGGTTAAGCCCTACGTCAGCTCCACCCTTGAGAGGTGTTTCCGTGTCTTTCAAGAACAAGGTCGTGGCCAAGAACAGAAGAACATCCACAACAGTGTTCAGGATCAATCTCATCACGAGCCAAACTGCCAGAACCGATCTGATAAACAAGTTTCTGTCCGAACGAAAAAGCTGGTGCCTTTTCATGACAGGAACCGTAGGCAATGCCTCGGGGTCTGAAGTCTTTCGGGTACACGCAAGAACGAGAGACATAAGTGACAGTCCATCTCCCAAAGAGTGATGAGATCTTATCACAGCGATCGATTCTGCGTCGGATGTTTTCACGTTGAGGATGTGAATCTCCCATAAGGGTTTCGAAGTGTTTAAAGGGACCGTGGTGAGATTTGTCACGTAATGATCTGTGAACTGCTCTGTGTCTTGGATTCCCTCTAGGTCTATCTCTGGTACGATTACATGATCTTGCACATTGACATTGGTCCGGACCCATCTCGGTTTCTTCCCTCTTTTCTCACCATCGTCTTCCTGATTCAACAGTGCAAGTGAGACAGATTGAATCTAATCTAATCTAATCTCATATTTGATTATATGACAAGTCTGAACTTATAATCCCACGTCTTCCTAGTTTCTCGGAGATGTAATAAATTGCAGAAAGATGGACAAAGAGACAACCTTTGAGGATCTCTTGTTCCATGTGTTCGCAGTTTCAAGTTCGATTTTTTTTTTTTCAGTCGGGTCAAAGTTTCCATGCGGAGGCAAATGTGAAATCGACCCCGAAAGAAGTCGAAAAAGTTCGCAAAGCAGGAAAAAGAAAACCCCGGCCGAATCAATACGCGTATGCATATACACCGTATAAACGTAGAAATACATACGTACATACATACACATACATATATATATATATATATATATATGGATTTTAGTTTAGTTACCAGTTTGCTTGAGAAACGAGGATGCTTGATCAGCGTATGCTTCAAGCCCTCAATGACAACGTGTGGATTAATTTTGGTTTTGCACCCGATGACGGCGAGGATGCAGCAGTTGAACCTCGGCGCGTGAAACAGACGCGCCGCTGGGCTTAGCGGCTCCACCACCACCTCCTCCTCCTCCGGCGTTGTTGTCCTATTCCCGTTTTCCGACATCCTCTTCGGCCGGTCAAGGCTCTGTTTCTTGCTCTGTTTTCTTTTTTTTTTTCTTGTCATGTTCTCCAAATTCTGAATCTGAGCAAGTCATAAATTGACACGGTCAAACATAATATTAGTAATAACATAAATTAGCTATCAAATAAATATACAATTTTCTTTAAGAATTTATTATTAATTTAATGTAACATAATAAAAATTAATGTCAATATCTTTTCTCAACAGACTGGCCACGTGAAATCCAGTATTTTTTTAAATAATATATATATGAATTAATCACGATTTTTTTTTACTGGAATATCGTGAAGTACAGACATATTATATAATATTTAATTACAACGAAAGGTTAATTAAACTTCTAAACTTTATTGTTTCTTAATCGGACCCTCTCAAAAAGCTTGTGATATCTTCATCACATAATTTATATTATAATTTGATAATATAATTTTTTGGACATTTGTTTAATATATGTTTTAAAAATTTTATTATTTGTTGACATTCATTGGGGGTGTAGCTCATATGGTAGAGCGCTCGCTTCGCATGCGAGAGGCACGGGGTTCGATTCCCCGCACCTCCATTTTCCTTTTTTGTTTTCATGTTTTTTAATTTTACATTTTCGGCCATGACTCTTCCTTCCTTCAGTCTTCTGATAACTTTGTTGGGTTCATTACCACATCTACACACATATCTATCTTACATTTGACTGTCTGTATACATCAAAAATCAATGAATCATCAGACACAATCCCACCCCGAAAAAAAGTTAATACAATGAGTCCGACATCTTCAACAACAGAAACGGATAAGGAATCTTCTAATCTCATACGCTTTTAAATCATACAGAAAAAGCTCCCACTTACATCAACTTCAGACCCAAACACATTCCCAACAAACTAAATAATATCACACAGACATGATGAATAGAAATCAAATCACCAGTTTTCAGCTACAAAGGTTTGGTATGCAAATCCCGGAATCCGGGTTCTGCTGCTCTTTCCAGATTCTTCCGGTAACTCTAAGCTTAAGCTCTTTCCTGTCTCCACCGGAGAAGAAAAGAGCAATGTTTCTCTGTATTATCAGACCGTCATGGCTATCTCTCACTTTCCTGTGGCTGTCCCTTATGCTTCTCGGGGTGCCTTCCCATATCAGTTTCCTCCCACTGCCTCCCACTTCTAGGCTGTAGCTGTAGTTCCTTGCCTCCGCCTCGTCCCCCATGAATCTGAGGAATGCCATGTATACTGGCGCCATCCCGAGCTGGAACGCCTCAAAATGAAGGCAGAAGTATTGCCCAAAGCAATGGAATACCTACAAGAAACAAAACCCTCTATGTTTTTTTACGGGAATTTGAAAACCCTCGTGCTCTTTTGTTTTTTTTCCTGTATCTGCTTGATTGAGCGAAAGAAGCGAAATCCGAGACTAGCCCGTGATTTGATACAGTGTACGATATATCCAAGACTCACCGTTAGCATCCATGTGGCGTTCTCGACTTCACGTGGATTGGCTTTGACATACCGATGGTTGAATGTGCATCCTGTGTGCATGTCGACTTTGTGATCATCCCTCAGATGGGCTACTAGGAAAGGGATGTCCCCTACTGCAGCACACTCCGAACCAGCGTACGGACAGTTGTAAGGTCTGAAGTTACAGTTAGACTCGTGCTTTAGTTTGCTGTAATAAGGAAATATCTCCGGGCACCCGAGATTGTAATACTTGCATGGTAGCTCTAGTGACTCGGCCACTTTCTCAAGAGCTAAACATCTGATATCTCCGAGTTCTTGTCTACATGTGGGACACCGGTTGTGAACCCTTGCTTTACAGGTCGAGCATAATGTGTGTCCATTATGGCACTGCAGAGAAAAGAAACCCTTCAAGCTTATTCCCATCAACAATTCACCCATCACACAAAGATTTACAGATTTCTCAAGAACTCTCCCTGTAATGTACCCACCACTGTAATTTACAAAAGTTCGAGTCCATCATCGGATCGGAAGGAAGTGGAAGAATCATGCCTATTGATATACCATCATTCATATTTTCAGCTTTCCAATGGCTCAGGATCAATACAATGACTTCGAACGGAAATGTGTTTAAAAGGATCAAAAGAAATCCGGATGACAATGGTCCTCGAGCATCAAAACAGCTTCATAGCAATGAAACCTAAATTTGCAGAAGATGAATACTCATCTGATTACTAAATATGGAAATCAGCATAATTGGATCATCAGAACACAAGTACAGATAGATCACAACCAATCTAGGAAATTGGAACCATAGAAAAGTTTATATTTTAACCAAAAAAAATCCGGGTGAGATAGCTACGATCGGAAACCCTAATATAGATCATAAATCCAAAGCCAAAGTTCAAAAATCTGAAAACGCAGAAACGGAATCGGACCTGATGGATTGGTGGGTACATGGAATTGGTGCAGACGGGGCATTCGAGGAGCTCGTAGACACTCGTCGCCGGAGCGATCGCCGTCGGGCCGACGATGTTGGTACCCAATAGGGCGGCTCCGCCGTGGTTCGCCTGAGACTTCGCCGACGATAATTGATGGTTGTTGTGGTGATGATGACCGTTCCCGTGGTGATGGATCTCATCGTTTTCGATGCTTCCCGTCGACGAGACGCACTCAACGACGCTATATAAAACAAAAACCCTAATTCAAAAACCAGGAATTGTCCCTCCCTCCCTTCCTTCCCTATCTTCTCAAATAATCTCTCTTTCTCGGGCAGGGAAAAGTTTCTTTCTTTCTCGCCGAAACAACAAGGAAAAGAAAAGCAAGGAACCGAACAGTCCTCTGCCTTCCTCGCACTTTTGGGTACTTTTCTCTGAAGAGACTCGGCGATGAAGAGATAAATCTGGAAACAGGAGAGAGATAGAGAACAACCGGAGAAATGTATTTTCCCGGGAACCAAACAGGCCCCCTTCTCCTCCCTTTCCTCTATCCGTTTCCTCCAAAGATGCGCTTTTCTTCGTTGTCCTGTTTGCACCTTTGTTTTTTGCTCTCTCTCTCTCGCTCGCTCAGAGACAAAGAGATTAAATAATAGCCGTCCAGATCCTAAAGCTCCCTTTTATTCGGATTTGAATCCGACGGTTATCAAAATCCCCCTGCTTTGGTTTATTATAATTTTTTTAAAATTTGTTAATCCACTTGGCACTTACTGCAAACCAGTTTAACCGACAAAAAAAAAAAAAACAGGTAAAAAGTAGAAATCCCACCAAAAGTTATCTCCCATCTTCAGATTCTAATGTAAAATTTCAGAGTTAAATATGTTCAGTTAATTAAAGAAATATCCCGTAAGAGAAAAGAGTACGTGGAAGTTGCTTGCATTATATGACTGAAGAAAGAGAGAGAATTTCCCTTCTTCTTTGCCTTCTTCAGACAACCCCCCTCAAACAGTTTCTACTTTTCCATCATATTTGGAGCTACAGACAGAATCCAATGTTTGTTTTTTTGTTTGTTCATATGTACAGAACAAAGCTACAAGTGTTTTTTTTTTTAAGGTACACACATTTTCACCAGAACTCCCCCATGGATGGATCTCTACATGCTGCTGGCTATGACAGAAGGAAGCTCGATCTCGACTTCTGTCTCTCCCTCTGATCCTTCCTTCATCTGCAACAATTTGAGCCTCTAATGAAGACTTTAACTTAAATTTTACAAATTCGCGGGTTTTTTTTCTCCGAAAAACGACTTCAACCCGCGATTTTCCGGTGCTTAATGCCGAACCAAATATCAAAACGTATGAATGGTTTGGCTATTCAGTTAAACGAAAGCCGAGCCAAACACTGGTTTGATATTACCTCAGAAGAATCCTTGGACTTGGTTTTGGAGAGATACCGATCCAATGCACCTTCACCTCGAAGAATCTTAGCTCCATTCCCTCTCCGCCCCTCTGATTCAACGGCTTCCTCATCAACCACGACAGCATCTATCACATCATCCCCTGCCTTTACGTCAGGAATCTGCAAAAACAGAGCATATCAACATCATGCACGAATGTGTAAAACCACAGATAAGAGGACTAGAGGAGTTGAACTCAATTCAGCGAGGAGGGTTTCAGCTGGACTGAAGGGAACCAAAAAGTGACAAAGAAATTTATTATTTATTACCTCATACATAGAATCCATGAGGATGCTCTCCAGAAGGGCCCGTAGGCCTCGAGCACCAATGTTTTTAGATATGGCTTTTCTAGCTACTAGACTCAATGCACCTTTGGTGAAATGCAGCTTTACCTGAGAAAACAAATACGCAAGGGGGGTAGAATTCCGTGTCAACATTCTGAGAGAGCAAAGGGTTCTATACTAAACAGCCAAAAGGGACAAATATTACTACCCCATTCATATCGAACAGCTTTTTGTATTGCTTTCCCAGAGCGTTTTTGGGCTCGGTCAGGACCTGCAAGCAACACAACAGTGGTTGAAGTGAAGTTGAGATAAATCACGGTATGAGCACAGTCAAGTACGTGAATCACGTAAGTATAAGATTTTCAGCTCAAAAAAAGCCACCGAGCAAGTACAGAGAATGCCCCCAAGGCTCATATTACTCGGAGGAACATCAGAGAGATTGATGGAGAAAGATAGCTTGCTCTCCTTTGCGAATAGTTAAAAAAAAAAGTAATCATTTCAACTTTGTTACCTGCACAAGCTGGTTCTCGGTCAATGCAGACAAACTGACAAGAACAGGAAATCTTCCAACGAATTCGGGTATTAAACCATATGCAATCAGGTCACTGCTTTCCACCTGCAAGAAAGTCAGCATCCCATATAAAAACCCATCATTGACTGAACAGAATCACAGCACGGGCCAAGAAGAGAGATGAGAATGTACGGTTTCCATCAGGGTTGATGCAACGGTGGCATTTGTAACGCCACCAGCCCTCATGTTAGCACGTACAGGAGCACCGAACCCTATAGAAGAATCATGGCGCCTGGAATAAAAAAAAAATTAAAATATATATATATACTCAATTGGCTTATACGGGTAATTCATCGGACAAATGGCATTAAGAAGTTAGAAAGTGTTCATCAGTCAAACCTCTCCGAGATTGTTTTTTCTATGTCCACAAAAGCACCCCCACATATAAAGAGTATATCCTTTGTGTCCATCTGCAAACAGGCACCAAGACCATGGACAAGACACAAATGTTACAAAAGACATATATACCTAGTGAACTCTTGAAAAGAACAAAGCCAGATGCCTAGGCATAGCTTGTTCAGTTCTGACAAGGTAAGCCATAACATAGACAATGGCATTACAAACCTGAATATTATCACCTCTTGGGTGCTTCCTAGCTCCCTTCTCAGGAACGTTCACGATCTACATCGCACGGGAAAATACAAACACACAAAAAAATCGGTCAAAACAGGCATATCACCTTGTGAGAAGAGAAAAAGGTGCATAACCATAGTAAAATCATTCCATAATTTCTTTGGACAAATCCAGAGCTAAAATCAACATCCTTAAAGGTTGAACTCACTGTTCCTTCCAGCATTTTTAGTAACGCTTGTTGCACTCCCTCTCCCGAGACATCTCTGCTGATGTTAAGGCTCTCTGCCTGGTGCCCAAAAAGCCAAAAAGACAAAAAAAACATTTATAGTCATGAAGTAAAATAATTTTCGAGTTTGTTAAACAAGAGAGCGGGAAAAGGGTTTAAACCTTCTTCGTTATCTTGTCGACTTCATCAATATAAACAATTCCCTGTTGTGCAGCTGCTACATTATAATCAGCAACCTAAAGCACATACATTAGATATTAGGAGAATAAAAAAAGGAGGATTCTCAAACAACAGTCAGCTTGCTGTTTTTTAAATCTCGGAAGATCCATGTTTGGCCATATCCATACATTCTCTGCAGTTTAACAGAGTACATGCAAGATGGCTTGGTTTGAGAAACTTACGGTCAGAAGTTTGTATAATATAGACTCGACATCCTCCCCCACGTAACCAGCCTGTCAATTGAAGTTTATTTCCCACAACAAAAGGGAATTATCACTGATTTATCAACATAAAAAGAGGAAATGAAACCAAAAGAAGAAAAGAAAGTAAAAAAGAAGAACAAAATGCCTTGCCTGAGTCAATGTGGTAGCATCTGCAATAACGAAAGGAACATTGACAAACCGTGCCAAGGTTTTCGCAAGTAACGTCTTGCCTGTCCTTGGAAAACACCAAAACATACCGGCGAGGAAAAATAGCCGAGATTAAAATGGTCAAACCGTGTCTTAAATAACATAATGTCGATGGGGTTAAATAAGAACATCAGATATGCGATTCTTGCAAGTTGAGACTGGAAAATCACCCGAGCCAGTCGGTCCCATCAGAAGAATGTTGCTCTTCTCGAGTTCTACCAATTCATCGCCTCTTGCTGTGGTGCTGCCTGGTTCACCAGCAGACCTAGATTGCCAATAAGTTTCAAGAAGACAACTAACTACATCTCTTAAAGACTGACATGAACTAAATACTAAGAAAATAGACTGACATCCATAAAAAGCATTTGACCCCAAAGAAATGCATCTATAATGCCTACATGAATGTGCAAGTGAAAATGGAAAACCTTCTGTTTAAGGCCATAGTTATGCTAACAGTCAGAAATGCTTATTTATCTCAGAGATGCCTGAGAAGGATAGTTTCTTCTCTTCACCACCGACGATTTTCACTAAATCGATGTTTATGAAACTTCAAGGGAGGGAAGCTAACCGTTTCTGTGACGACTCATAGTATATCCTTTTATAGTGATTGTAAACCGCCACTGAGAGCACCTGTATTCACAAGATGCAATAAAAAGTATTATACAAATCTGTTTCACCATCTCAACCACATGGAAACACACACAAAAAAAAAGCTACACAACTGAAAATGAGTCGCTGAAACTAACACACAACTTCTGTCCCTTATGAAAGATTAAAAAAACTTTAAGGATTAGGACAAAGTCACAGGCACAATCTGAATGATGAAAATGTAAACAAGTGATATTGGCAGCAAATGTTCAAAAGCTAAACATAGGGTACATTTGGAACCAAACCTTAAAGAGTAAAAACGGAAACTTCAAGTCAGAAACCAACATGCGATCTTAGGTCTCTTAAAAGATGAACCCTTAAGGATTAGAGTACAAACTAATGCAACACCAAACGCACAATAGAATAATATACAGAAAAAGTATCAGAAAAGAGTGATGAAAATCAAGGAACGACTACCAACAAAATGTAAAACCGAGTTTGGAGGAAATTAGAGCTTTGACATTTAGAATTCAGCTGACCAAATGAAAACCCATTTAAGAATAGAGCAAAAGAGCATCAAGGGTTGATCATAGAACATTCTCCTTCACCTTCTTCGCCCTCTCCTGACCAATCACAAAGTTGTCCAAACCCTTGCATATCTCCTTTGGTGTAGGAAAATTGGGGCCAAGATTGGATCCACCCCAAGACTCCTTTGAATTCGACCCGACTCCGTTGCCCGACCCGGAACTAGCTCCGCCGCCGCCGCCGCCGCGACCCAGATTGACGGCCGACCCGTTAACCCGAACCGTAATTCCATCCCCCGGAGGTTGCCACACATCAGGTGGGTCTCCGTTCGAGCTAAATATAGCAGACTTGCCGCAATTCGTGGCAAAACTCTTGCTTGGATTACGGTTCTCTCTCCGATGATCCACGAAACTCGTTCCTTTTTCGACCACTTGGCCACCGAGAAAGATGGGCTTGTAAAACGTAGCGTTGGGTAATGGATCGTCGCATTTGGAACGGTGATTGCACTGAGAACTCGTCGTCCGACCGGTGTGGACGCGGTTGAAGATGAAGTACCTGAACTGAGAGAGCGTGAGAGAGGCGGTTTCTCTCGACGTGTTCGACCTGAAAGCCGCAGCCATGGAGGATTCCGACGAGGAAATGAATCGGGAAACAAGAAGGAAGCGACAAAAGACTCAGAAGCTCAGAAATTGGCGATGAACATAGCCAATCGAAATCCCGGAGACTCAAGGCGGGTTCAGGAGAAAGACTCGAACTTTGAGAAGGGGATTTGTCACGGAATCAGCAATTATTACAACATGCGGAAATGGAGAGTTTTTGCAGCACACGGAAGGGATGAAGCGATGAAGAAACAAACAGAAAAATAAAACCAGGAAGAAGCAAAAGCGAAGAGAAATCGAGAATATCTAATTATCTGGTGAGGTGCACGGTCGTGACGTGATATAGATTTATAGCAACATAACCTAAAGCAAGTGGTTCCATGGTCTAGTGGTCAGGACATTGGACTCTGAATCCAATAGCCCGAGTTCAAATCTCGGTGGGACCTTTTTCGAATTTTATTTCTGTTTTTCTGAGCTGAAAAAACAAAAAAATAGAGGAGAAACGGATTAGATAACACAAAATCCATGAATGATTTGAATTTTCTTTCAGTTTTTAGTTCGTTATTCAAACGGTTTAGTTCGCAATAGTATGTTTGGTTCTATAAAAATTATACTAAATTAGAATCCAAAAGTTAAATGGTTGGGTTAGTTTTAGTGTCAGTTCGATTTAGAATATCATCGTCATATTAAATAAATATAAAATCGTTATATATATATATATATATATATATATATATATATATATATATATACGGGTAGATAATTGAAATTTTGATTTGATATTTATCGGATATGGTTCGGTATTTGTATTGTTCAATTCCAAAGTGATTTATTCGGTTCTATAAAAAATATATACCAAATTAGAACCGAATTTGATTCCGAACTAAATTACCGAAGTATCCACCGTTATCTCCAATCAGGTTTAAATTCAGTAAGATGAATCTTCCACGCATATGAAACATCAGTTTCGCTTGATTCTCAGAATAATCAAACCTTTGTGTACAAAAGATCCAATACCGAGATTTCTATTGTTGTGTGGTATCTTGAATACGTATAATCTGAATTTCTTAGTTAATCACGAATGTATAAACGAGTTTTACGAAAAATATTCATCCACCGTTTGCTTGGATATTCAATAAGATGAATCTCTTCGTCAAATAGAAATCTGATGGAAAGATTTGTCTATCATTGGATTTCTCATTATTTAATATAAACCATTAAAAATTGTAATGGTTTATATTAAGGGTAAAAAATAAAACCACATCATCAATATAAATATTTAAAATATAAAAATAATACCAAATTTTAATATTATGATGATATTCTGAAGATATTTGAAGATATTCTCCAGATACGTTATTCTCCGTATCTCTTGATATATATTATTTATTCGTGTTGGATTTGTATCGATTCGTGTGAAACAACAGAATGATTTCCGATCCCGATCTCTTGTTCTACGCTTGTATTGCGAAGGGAACAGTGGTTCTCGCTGAGCTCTCTTCGAAGGAGCCGGGGATCGAAGCCACGGCTTTGAGATGCATAGAGAACACGCCTCCAAATCACTCTATCTTCTCTCACACAGTCCGCGAAAGGACGTACACTGTCGCGATCGATGATCCATTTGTCTATTTCGCAATCTCAGATGAAGATATGGAGAAATCAGAAGGTGTCTGGCTCTTGAATCGCTTCAAATCAACCATGGAGGATCTGGTAAAATCCGGATCTATCGATTCGTTGGATAACCTCTCCTCGCACTGTCTCCAGTCAGAACTCGATCCGCTTTTCGCTGAGATCGTAGGCGGTGAGCTTGGTTTAGATTCGGCGTTGGAGGAGAGCGGTCGGTATCCAAGCATGGATTCCTGGAAAGGATGGAGAGCTGCGATAATGCCGCTTATGGGAAATCCCTTGAAGGTGTTGAAGAAGAAGAGATTGCACACGGATACAAAGGATAAAGACGCGAGGGATTTGCGTGGGGATGGAAGCAGTGGCGTGTTATGCAAGGAACTGAGGAAAGGGTGGTTATTACAAAATCATCAGGCGCGGAGGAACCATGTGTGGATGGTGTTGGCGTTCGGTACACTCATCTGTGCGGTTCTGTTCGGAGCGTGGATGAGGGTTTGCCAGGGTTCTCAAGGTAAGTGAAGAGACTCTACATCCAATCCAATCGAAAGATGATTTTGAACAGAACACTGTTTTCTGTTATTTTTTTCTCGAGTTTGTTGTTTCGGGGATCGAATCAATGTCGAACCCTAGTTTACACATTGGTTATATTATATCCATTGGAGATTTTCCTTTTTCGCATGAAAAACGAGTGTTTGTATCTCTTTTGTTCTGCATAACATCATCATCCTCGTCATCTCTCTTTGGTTTCTTTGCGTCGACATGTGTTTTGTACTAAGATCTCTTGATGGCTGTCCCGTTAGTTGTTACCTGTATCAGATACATTGATTGAATTCGCAACAAACAAAGGTTAAAACACTTGTAGCTCGTGGGGTGTATATATCTGCAACACAACCATTGTATCTAAATCCGCCTTTTGTTTAGACGAACCTGATGTGTCACCAACTCCTACTTCGATGCTATCATACATAAATTAAAAATTCATAAAAGCATAACGAAGTATATGGAAACAACATGCAAGAAAAAAGAACGACAAACTGACAAGTTCAGGCCTAACAAAAACAAGAGAGAGAGATGGCAGACATCTATTTCAGCAGCAAGAGAGCGGAGACTGAAAGGAAGGAACTTTGGGGGATTTTCAGCCACAAGGAGTGAGTTTCTTGTTGCCAGCACCGCGGGGATTGTCGTCCTTCCAGTCATCAAAGGCCCTGGCTCTCATCACAGCCTCCTCGTCCTCTTCCTCTTCCCCGTCCTCTTCCTTTCTCCTTAAAGGCTTGTCATTGTACCAGGAAGAGTTGGCTTCTTCAATGGCTTGTTTAGTACTCTCTTGCCAATTGTTCATTATCCTCATCTCTGTAAGCCCAGCTTCCTCTATGCTCATTGTGGGCATTCTACATAGATTTGATCAAACTAAGTTAAACCCACCCCCACTTTTCATGCCCTCTAAGGTGTTAACAACAAAAAAAAAGGGGCAAAATTGATCGTAGTTGACTTTTTGTTACCTATGAGTCGGCTGAAAAACCTGCGCTGCCATCCTTTCTCTCTCAGTGGATAGCGGTCCATTAACGAGGCTAGCTGGCCCGAATATCAAAGGTTGGTGCTTGTGTTCATGGGCTTGCGAAACTGATGCTCTTCCTTCTATGACATCCTGAGCAAACGTGGCACAAGTTATAGGCTGAGCTGGTTTAGAGTACTGTGCCCTTGCAGCAGCATCTCTATGCCATGCTTCAGCTTTCTTCGTTCTTTCGTCGAGGGCATCCTTAGAAAATCCGTTCTCTCCTTCCTGGTTGAAATAAATAACACATACCTCTTAGCTATGACTTCGCCGGATTACGAAAGGTTGGAAAAAAATGCAAAAGTAACAAGGGAGTGGAGTACCTTCACCTGTTTTTCCTTCATAGCTGAGAGCATTTCTTCTTCTTTCTTTAGCATCTCCATCAGATCAAGAGCCTACACTAAGTTCTATCATCAGAATGGGTCATCTCAATGTCAAGATGCATCTAATTGGTTAGTGGCACATACCTTACAAGTCGCCAACGAGATTGTGATCAGCCATGCCTGTCAATAATAAGCACAAACCTGATAGGGTCAGAGACAGACTCATCCATGAAAGCAAATGTAAATGCTAAACTAACCTCTCTTTCTTCTTCACTGTCATCATCTGGAGTATCTTCCTCTCCAGCTTCCACTGGAGCCGACACAGCAGCTGCTTTAGTTGAACGTCCCCGACGCTCCTTCCGCTCCTTAATTTCTAGCAGTTTTGATTCAGCAGCTTTTTGCCTTTTGAACCTAGCTATCTAGAATCATCATAACAAAAAAGATACAAAAACTCACTAACACAACCAAATGCAAAATTTTCAGACCAACATGTCAAAAGCAACAAGCTTCAAGAACACAGAAACAAGAGAGAAGCAGACATGAAAACAAAGAGCATCTGCTAAGGCGCCAAAGAAAAACACTGATTATGTCTTTCCGGAAAACAATCTTTTTTTTAAAAAAAAGGGATAGATGTAACCTTCAAAGCCCTCCGGTCAGCTGGTGGAACACTCCCTCCGCGTGAAGATGCTTGCAGCTCCTCATCTGGGACAAGCTCCATTGCCTCACAGAATGAAAGGAATTCCTGGGACACATCAACCAGTTATGTCACTGTTAGGTAAAAGATAAAGAAAAAATCCTACCTAAACACTAACTCCTGTAAGCTGCTCTGCTGAAAAAAAAATCGAAAACTCGTTGCACTCTGCGGGAAAATCACCTTCAATTTCGCCTGTGAAGCCTTAACAATTTGACTCCGGTCATCCTGAGCAATCTTTTCTGTCAACTCCGCAAGATAGAATGGCACCTACAGGTCACACCAAATGGCATGGAAGAGGACACAGTCTAGGATTTTAGCATTCTGAATTCGGAAATTCATCAAATGCCAAAATCATGTCTCAACAGCAAAAGTTCACCGCTTTCAGATTTCCCCCCTTTGTATTCTATGCAAGACCCTAGCTTTGTTCATCTTCTCTCTTTCGAATCAACCGAATAACACACTACCAAAAGAATTCTACAGCTATCAGAAAATGAGTTGTATCGACAATTACCAAAAGATACTTGAGATTGGTGGTGCTGATATCGTCTTTCGTCTCATTAGATGAGAACAAACCAAGCTTTCCGATCATATCCTCGGATTTCCGTAGCATCTCGCACCCTTTCTTCACGAGATCCTAACGACAGAACAAAACCCCCGAAGTGCCCATTTCAGAATCGCGATTCGAAATCCCCAAAAGTAACCCTAACCGATTTCGTAGCCAAAGTTCGAAGACTTCACCTGATCGATACCGGACTCCGACGCCGCGAGATGAATCTTCCTTGATTTCTCGAACAGGGTAGGCAGAGACATCTCTTCCATGTTCAATTCACCCCTTCGTAAAACCCAATCAATATTCAACGGAGAAGAAAGATCGCACGAAGAGTACTCACAACAAATGTTACAGATTCAAGTTTGCTTGTTTGAAGAGTGGTGAAATCTCTAGGGTTCGTACCGAAATCGGACGAATTACCAAGATGCAAAATTTCTACCCAAATACTTTTTCACACGAGAGAGAGAGAGAGAGAGAGAGAGAGAGTACCAGCCGTTAGATTTGTAGAAACCGTAGATCCGGTCATGGATCTTAGCCAAATGATCAGGTGTGGGCGAGTGTACAACGACTGTTCTTCAATATGGTCGAAACTAGTGGAATACCATATCAAGACGAAAATAAAATTCGTTTAAAATTAATTGAATATAGAATGATTTTTAGTGGTATATATAAAAATGGAAAAAATTGTATAAAATAATTAATTTTTTTAATAAAAATGGAAAAAACGAAAATGAAACGAGTCAGACCAAACAAAAAATATATAAAAAAATCAATGAATAAAGATTTTACATAATGGAAACAAAATCAAAATTTATAGACTATATACACCCATACTTCACTATATACACATTAACAAGCCAGGATGAATTTTTTTTTACTGAGACAATTAGATAAAACAGTGGAAAGTGAATTTTTTTTCTTGTTGTAGTAGTAATGTAACCATTAATATTCAAGTAGAAACCCTTGGTGGATGGTAGATGGTGCATCTGGTCTCGAGAACCCGAAGCTTTTTTTTTTTTTTGTTCTTGAAAGTTGAAATTCGGTAACTTTTTTTCTACCCATTTTCCATATAGAGATCTCGAAGAAAGGGTTTATTTTTTTTCTCTCATTCCAAGAAGAAAAAACACAAAGCTTTAATTTTAACCTATGGTTGACATGAAATATGCATTTAAAGGTTCTTCAGTTCTTGATGAATTGGAAACACAGCTCGTGTTAACCAAAAAAAAAAGAAGGGAGAGGCCACCAGTTATTTTCTTCTATCTCCCTGTAGTTATGCTTAATCCTTTTTTTAATCATCAAATCGTGCAAAAAGAAATTCACCAATGGAAGTCCTTGAATGAAAATGGTATCTTTTTTATATAAAAAAAAATCTACAACATGGGTAGCGTAAAGATGCTAACTTTTCGCTGAAAAAAGCCTAAGGTGATTGTCTGTAACCCCAGATGTTTATATTCTTTCTATTGCTTCTGGGGAAAAACAGGAGAGAGAGAGAGATTCCATCGAGTATAATTAAATGAATCAGCAGCGGAAGTTCCGAGAGTAAGTCATATGGTATACACACATTACTCTAGGGGAATCATTGCATATATGAATGCACAGACGCAGCGAGAAGAGGGGTTTTAACCCTAATAACCCACTTGGGTCGCAGCAATTTCAGGGTACACCACCGAAAAAAAATAAAAATTTGCGACCTTATTACGACTAATATATAACTAATATACAACTAAAATAAGAGTAGTTTATTAGTCGTAATAAGTTGTATATTAGTTATATATTAGTCGTAATAAGGTCGCAAATTTTTTTTTTTTTTCGGTGGTGTACACTGAAATTGCTGCGACCCAAGTGGGTTATTTGAGTAATATTCCCGCGAGAAGATGGAAAGTTCATGATGGTGGGCAGTCGATCACTAGCTGAAATTTTCTGTTTTCTACATAAAAAAACTGATTTTGATACAATGGGTCTGTAGTTTTGCACGATCTTTATCGAACAAGTTCCCGGCTTTACAGGTTTCATCCCAGTAAAGGAACCAACTTGATTTATTCTTGAAGAAGGCCCACATAGGGGGGGAGAGAGAGAGAGATTCATTTCCATGGAGCCTTGAATTCCTTGGTTGTCTCCTTCATGATGACTATTCATCTAACAGTGACTTCCCTCTTCACCAATGCTTCCTCTGTACTTTGACCATCCACAGGTAAAAATTCTACAAAAAGTTGCAAACTATATTTCTTCTTTTCAATTTCCTTTCGAAATGATAAGTTCTGAAAAGGACCCGAGTAAAAATGAGACTCGGGCTTCTTTGATGTGTCTATGCCATCTTCGTCTCTCTCTCTCTTTCTATATATATAGCGTATGATATATATATATATATATACACACAGAAGCATGATTTGCATGTCGGTGGTAACAAATTTGCTTTCTTCTTCAGTGTTTGGGATCAAAAGGGTTGAGAAATTAGAATTCTGGCTCTCGGATCAGAAAAGGGTTAATGGATAGTCACTGTTCTTGTTGAATTGTTCGCAACATGTTTGCAATAATGTTTCAGTGAATATTACAGTCTCGTACAGATTTTATGGAATTTCCATATTAAAGATTTTGAGGTCACAGGTTACAGGTTGTGTTAATGGTGACAGACAGTTTATGTGGTCCAACTTAAGATCTTCAAACATGTGTGGCTTATAATACTTTTGTGGCTTGATTTCTTCAATCAATTCTCTACAGTTTGGTGACTGATACATGCTTTCCCTCTGTGGGTATGTGATTGGTACCACTTTTTTACCATCTATTCTAAATAATCATGGAAATGGGGCGTGTCCTGACTTCATCCTTTTGTATAAGGCTGAAGATTTATAGACCCTTAATACAATCATGTGCAAAAGTTAAACATCTGAGTGAATCTTTTACTTTGAAATTGTGTTTGGAAACTAAAAAAGAATAACAGATCAGATCTCAGATTGTTTTGATTGACAATCCAATTCTTGATCCTTGGTGGTAAAGATGGGTGTTAATATGATATTCTCTTGTGAATTATCAATGGTGACAAAGAAGAAGGAATCTAGTTGCTCTTGCTAGGCATAACAAGCATGGCCAGGGAAAGGAAAGGAAGAGAGTGAAAAAGGGTGTTTTTGCAATGAAAAAGTAAGGGCAAGTGGGGACATTTTAGGGCCTCCCACTTCACAGAAAACCAGGAAAAAAACTAAATTTTTTCACTTTATCTATCTGTAAGGACGAGCTCTTGCATGATTCTTGAAAGTCATTTACATGTGTATTTTAAGAAACTGCTCACCAAACTTTATTCCTCTGCCATTCTTCATGACCATCTTGGAAAAGTTGATGTAACTCTCCTGCATAACTTACTGCGACACATGTACTTGCCAGTCTTCTGCAGCTTTGGTGTGATTAGCTTGCTGTTTCAACATACCCTTCTTGGATCTCTTCACCAGAAACTCAATTTTTCAGTTCTCAGCCTTTAACCGGGTCTTGGTTATTGGCTGTTTACCGATCCTTTCAACTGGTTCTGACTCTGCGTGGTTGATTCTGTTCTGGGTTTTGCCCAAAAGTCGATTAAACCATTTTTTTCATGGTTTGTTCCATCCCAGGTATATCCTTTGCTCTCAAGCTCTCTGAAGTTTGTCCTTGTGATTAACATGGAGTCTTGCATTTTGAGATTGCTGCTTTCTTTTAATGTATGTAAATTCTTTGAAGATTGGATAAAAGTTTCAGCTTTTTCTCTTCTGATGGATCAGGAGGCATCCCTGGAGAGAAGACAGAGAGGTTGTGCTCGATGTACTTTGGTGCCTCTTGTGTCGTTGCTCTGAGGCTTTTAACAGAAACCTACATGGCAGATGAGAAATGGTTTGAGTTGAGGGATAAAGTGATATTATTAGGTTTTCTAGTCTGGAGAATCTCTGATGAGGAAAAGGATAGGCTTTCTCAGAAGCTCGAGGATGCTAAGAGCGAAATAAGCATACTGAAGAAACTGAGACATGAAGACGCGAAAGCTAACGAGAAGGTTGTTAGCATATTTGCATCTCAAGAACAGAATTGGCTGAATGAGAGGAAGAAGTTGAGGTTGCAGATCGAAGCTCTAATGCAGGAATTGAGGGCCATGGAGAAGAAAAAGGCAGAAAGCGTGTCAGAGTTACAAGAGAGATTGAAAGAGACAGAGGCTTTGCTACAATCTAAGGATAAGGCCATGGCAGAAGATGAGCACAAACATAAAGAGTTAGAGGAAAAGCTTGCCAAAACAGAGAAAGAAGCTCAAGAACTGAGAGAAAAGCTAGAGAAGGAGACGCAAGAACATTCAGCCGAGCTGTGGAAGCAAAAAACGACATTCCTTGAGCTTGTTTCTAGCCAGAGACAGCTTGAAGCTGAATTAGGTCGTGCAGTTAAGCAAAATGAAGCTAAAAAACATGAACTTGATTTAGCCATGGAGCAGCAGGAGGAATCCACATCCATGGCTGAGAAACTGTCCTCTGAACTTCTGAAGATGAGGAAAGATTTGGAGCAGAAAGATCGAATCCTCTCAACGATGCTGGGAAAGTCAAATCTGGACATAGCCGAGAAGCAGATGTTGCTGAAGGAGATTAAGGTGTCGAAGGCTAAAAAGAAGCAAGCTGAACAAGAAAAAGAGAAATGGAGAACAATGTCAGAATCAAGAAAACATGAGAGGCAGTCACTGAGAAGTATGTTTGCTGTTGAAGCCAAATCACGAGGAGCCTCAAACCCGAGAAGACAGATAGACAACGGAACACTTGAGTTGAATGAAGATACTGATGCTGTTTCAGAAATCGTCGATTCATTCGCCAATGGTGATTTCAGGAAACTACGTAAGTTTTTTAAGAACTCCTAATTTTATAGCATCTGTGTCATGTGAATTTGTACCTTAATATTGCATTTGTGGGTTTGAAGGGATTGATGGAAACTCAAAGAAATATGAAAAGAAGGATTGTGGAGATGACGGGCATTATATTGCAGTGATGGAGAAGAGGCATCACAATGAGCTCAACGCTTTTGCACAGCAAATGAGATTAAAGGATGAAAAGCTGGAAGCTTTGTGTTGGCGTCTGATGAATGCTGAGTTAGAATCAAAGCATTTGAGGTTATGTATTGAAGGTTTGAACAGAGAAATGTCTCGGCTTAGACAAGATAACACGAAACTGGAGGGAAAGGTAACTCAGCAAGGCGAGGAATCGGTGGTCTTGAAGAAACAATTCACATCTCAGTTGAAACGCTTAACTTTTCACAAGACCCATGCGAGTTCTAGAAGCAAGAACGTGAAAAGAGAAGCACAGGGGGAACAGAACACAGAAACCCAGTCGGAAGAAGTTTCTCAGGAAACCATAGTCAAGAAAGAAACAGAAGCAAATTCTTCGGAGGAATTAAAACCTCGAAGTCTGATAGTTCAATCTGATACTATAAAGATCGAGCATACCGATCGGGGAAATGGAAGTGTTGAGGAGATTGAAAGCCTTGAGAAGTCATCAAGCATGAGCCAGCCATCAATTATGACCAAGAATCCACCTTGGAGAACTGATCTTTATGCCCTTGGGATTTCCTGCAAGATCAAAAGGCTCAAACAGCAACTAATGATGCTTGAAAGATATACTGGGAAACGAGAGATTAAAGATATAGATGAAACAAGTGATTCTGGGAAAAGGGCTCTGTTATTACTCCTGCCTTTGCTTAGCAAACAAGTTACTCGGTATCAATCACTCCAAGAGAAGACCGATGATCTCTGCAAGAGAATGGTAAGGCCCCCATTTCTAATTCTTGAAACTTCTTTGTCAATATAAACCTGAAATCGTAAGACTGTAATGATCCTTCATCTTGCGTCTTGTTAACTATTTCAGCATGCGAATGGTCTGGAAAAGAATCGAGAAAACATCATAGCAAATGGAGAAGGGAAGACAGCATTGGAGCAATTCTTAGAGGAGACATTTCAGCTGCAAAGATACATAGTTGCTACAGGACAGAAACTGATGGAAATCCAATCCAAGATTGCTTCTGGCTTTTCCACGTTTCTAGAAGACATCACCCACAAGTCATCTTCTTCTTCTGCTTCTTCATCATCATCATTGACACTATCTTCTTCTTCTTCTTCTTCTTCTTCTTCTTCTTCTTCTAGTGGGAGCTTTGACATGAAACGTTTTGCAGAAAGCATCAAAATCCTGTTTCATGAAGTGCAGAGAGGAATAGAAGTTAGGATATCCCGAATCATCGGTGAGCTTGAAGGAACACTGGCCTGTGAAGGGATGATACGTTCCAAGCGACGGTAACTAAAAGCCACCGCAGAAATGCACAGGAGCCTCTGTATATGAAGCCACAAAGTGTGTAAATTCTTGACATCTTTTCTCAATTGATTCTGGTAACTGAGTTCTGTATAGAATCGTTCAAAAAGAGATTTGTAATTTAATTTGCTGTTCTTGAGGCTCACTGACGAGTTTTATCTCAGACCAGCTAGTGTTGTCCAATCGGTTTATTATCGGACTTTTGGTCAAAAGTTAAACCACGGGATTGCTCCATTAGTACAAACCGAGTAGATGAAGAGTTATTTTTCATCCGGTCATGGGATTGTTCCAGTAGCTTCCATGTCCGCTAGTTTCTTCCTTCTTCATTGGAAGCTCTCCTCAAAGGACAAAACTGTAGTGAGCACAGAACAGAACAGCAGAGTCTATTCCTTCTTCAATGGAAGCTCTCCTAAAAAGGACAAAACTTTGATGAACACAGAACAGAACAGCAGAGTTTATCTTCTGCAACTAAACGGGCTCATGTTTTGGGGTTATAGTCCAAGTATCTTTTAGCCCAGTTAAGGAAACGTGATTGATCAATATACGTATACCCTTTTGCGTACAAGGCATATAAAAGGTATATTCCACGAGTATAAGGAATATTATTTCAGCAAAATAGGATCTCTTTCTTTTTGTCCAAATCATTCTTTCTCTCTCCCTCCCTCCCTCTCTCATCTCCTCAAGTCTCAATCTCTTTCTCTGCTTCTGCTCTAATGGCAACGGAAATCTCCATGAAAGCTTCAAGCTTTGGTTTCAGACAGAAATGTCAGGCCTGTCCCTGTTCTCTCTTAGTTTTTCTTCTGTAATAGATTCTTTCTCTGTTTGTGGTCACTGTGCATAGCTGTTTCAGAACTCTGCGAATTGTGATTATATACATGATATAGACTGTGTGCTGTTACATGTTTTACCTGCGTGAAGTAGCTCTTTCAATGCAAAAGTTGAGCTTCATCCATATATGGTGCTATACTGGGATTTTTATGAAATATGGTAGGAATTGCTGTGATATAGTTCCATAGATGAAACTCACAAATCAAGCTTACGCAAGTGCCACAGTTTTCTTGTATTTCACTCTGGTTTGCACTAACTTTGACTCCTTTAGTCTGAAAACACCTTCTTAAGTTGAGATTCCTGGTTAGGTTGGGGTGGGGTAGAATCCTGACACAACTTCAAAGCATAATATGGATTTCGTGATCATTGCTTTTCTTCTTTGCAGTACTCAAAAGTCTCAAATCTTGAAGAATTTAGGTTTCTCCAAGGTTACAAGAACAGTTCCTTCTCATGGGTGTGAAGTTGCGTATATGTATTACAGTTTCTCTCTCTCTCTCCCTCTTCCATTTCGAAGTAGTTACTTGTTTGCAGCAGCATAGGTATCCTTCATTAGGTTCACTAGTTCCACCTTTGTAGAACTGTGCCCTTGTCCGCGTGAAACGTCAACCACTACTACCACCACCACCTGAAGATGCAAGATTGTGAGAGAGTGAGCTGCTAAAGTTCCTTCCTCGACGTGGAGCGTAAATGTAAGAAAAGTCGGGAGCTTACCCGTCAAAATGGAGGCTTTTACGTGAGAGACGGTCCGACCCTAACGGGTTTCACGACCCTGAAAGCCTTTCTCGCATACTCAAAAGCCAATACCAGCATGCTGAAGAGGAAAAGTAGACAAAGATGAAACTTTTCCACCACAGTGTATGCCAGAGAGGTAGCAGTCTCTCTGTTTGCAGTGGATCTAATAAACGCAATTCTTGTCCTGAAATAACCTGAAAAGAGAAACAGAGTAGCAGATAGCAGAAAGAAGATGTTAGGGTCTTAAATCAAAGAAGGGTGGTCTTGTAATGCAAATCTGACTTTTATACATTGGGCTTTAGCAAGTTGATGATACTTACCAGAGGGTTCCATGGGGAGATTAGTCCAATCACTTGGGTGTGTTTTCATTTCTGCTGCCTTGATCAACTCAAGTAGAGCTCGATTTACCTGAAATTATGCAATAGAAACCAATCTCTTCAGGCTCTAAGCCAATACAGTAACAGACCGCAAAGGAAGCACCTTGCAGATTCTCTGTCCCTTTCAAACTTTGTCTTATCCAGTGACTCTGACTATGTTCTGTAATTTTCTCTTCCCCACACCTTTTCTAGAATTTAATGCTGTTCCTATAAATGTTCTAAACTTGCAAAGTATTTTACTTCATTAGGTAAATAACAAAGTGTTTACTGGAATTGTGTTACAGTAACTTGTCCCCATGGTTATTACATGCTCTTCCAAATATCCTGTCCTAACCCGAGTAGGACAAAGTACCTCTTCTGTTCTCTCATGGCTTACAAGATGCCCTCCGTGAAGATCCACCATTCTAGCAACGGGATATAGCTTCTGCGCCAGTCTTCTCGCGTGACATATCTGAGCAATTACATCATGTCTGCATATCCACCATATAATTCAAGTTTTAAACGTGTGTGAATGTATTATTTCAAGTTCACAAAACTCAAGTAGGGTGTGTGCACACAAGGATTCAAATCTCAGAGCATCGGAGAATTACACACCTTCCATGAACAACTGACACGAGAAATCCACCCGAGCAGATCTGCTCCAGTTCTGTTCTTTTTACTTTATGTGTCCAACAAGCATTAATTTGGCCATCAAAGCCATATTTGGACTGCATTCCAGTTGTTGATATACCTTTTACGTATTGCTACAAAATCCAAATATGAGGAATTAGTTCTGGACGCAAACTTAATCATATAATTAATTAGTCACCATTTTTCCACCAAAACAACAGTAGTTCCCCACCTGGTATAAGATTGTCCGTCTTGTATTAGTTCCGACATGTTCTTCAAGGTATTCCTGCAAATCAGACCAACATGAGACTTGATAAATCTTTCTAACGAATATGTCAAGGTGCAGGAATCTTCATTCACAAGTTTACCGGAACTTGAATGACATATCAGATAATTTCTCAGAGTTAATTCCTGAAAGTATGTGAACTGGTCTTAGAGCATGTTACCCGCAAACCTACACCGATTCTAACATTATTTTCATCTAAACCCATTTATAATTAGAAATATCAGATAACTCTATTTTCATCTGAATCTAGCTCTATATCTTTTACAATGAATACATCAAGGTGCGGGTATAATCTCGCTCACAAGGTTACCAAAAACTTGAATGACATCACATAACTTACTCGAGTTACTTCCAGAAAGTATCTGACTGGTCTCAGAGCATGTTACCATGGACTCACAAGGATTCTAAAACATTACTTTATCTAAAACCCAACTATATTTGGAACCATCCGATTCTTATCCCCTACTCATTGAGGCGACAGCATCAAACTTAGCAGAAAAGTGGGGCAAATGCAGTAAGCGCACTTCTTTTGTCATGTAAGCTATTTCCCTAAACCTCAACATTTGCTCTATGAACAATTTGTTACATATAAGTCTTATTCATACAATTCACCAAGTAAAAATAAATAGATTGAACAAGACAGGAAACACTGGAAGCCAACCTCTGAGTAATGTGTGTCCAGATCAACAGCTGCCCTCTGTTCAGGAGTCTTGGCCTTTAGGAACCTTATTGCAATGGATAAACTTTTCCGATCCAGCTGAAAAACAAAACAAACAACTATTACATGACTTTTCGTTCCATTCCAAAACAACAAACTCGGCTGATATGGTGATTGCAGCGTGACAAGAACAAGACATTTCAATCAAAGAAGAAAATTTGAGATGACCCATTCGTTATTAGTACCTTTGGGAAACATTCGAAACCTCCACCAGTAACATTAAGCAAAGCCAGAGAAAGAACCCGCCCCGGCTCCATTGCAGCCAACTTGCAAGCTGTCATAGCACCTGTTACCACAACCAGAGACACAAAAATGAAAAGTGAAAACAGCCTCATCTCATTGCCACGAACTCGAATGGTAACAAATCTATAGAGACATTTATATGCCGGACTTGATTAGACGAGAAAGAACAAGTTCATTTGAAATTCAAACAAAAGCATGAAGCTGTTTACCCATAGAATGCCCTATAATGTGTGCTTTTTTCCACCCCAGATGATCCAACAAGGCTATTGCATCCTTTGCCATTATCTTTGTTCTGCATCAAACTTATATCATTTCAAAATAGATTCAAAGTAACAAAATCAACTGAAATTTCACCCAGAATAAAGCTTCCATTTTTGCTTTATTGTCCATGTCGGGTGAAATTGCGCAAGTACGAAAAAGCCATTCCAAAACAAAGTAACCAGACGACGAAGTCCACAAAGAAAATGCAAGATTTTCATACACAGAATCGAACAGATCAAGGACTCACGTGTACTCTGATCGTTTGGTGGGTACAGAACTCCGACCCATACCACGATTATCAAATGCGCAGACCTCGATGCCTCCGCCGGCGGCGGCGGAGGACTCCCCGTCAGCGTCCCCGGAGCTCTGATCAGACGCCGCGTCTCCGTCGTCGTTGGGTTTGACCGTCCCGGTCAAGCCCTTGATTTGCGGTTCCCATGACTCGTGAGTCCCGGCCAATCCTGAAACAATCGGTTGCCACAAAACCAGGAAAATTTTCAGCAAATACGTTACGATTCAAGCAAAACCCGGTTGGGAGAAAAGCTCAAAATCCCTAAATCATCGATCAAAACACGAAATTGGGACCAAAACCCAGAGACCTATGATGAGAAGGGCTTTGGTGGGACCGTGACCATACGTTCGGTAGAAGATCTTGATGGCATTGTTAAGCGCCGCGTCGGCGCCGGCGTTTTCTCTCCCGACCTCGCAATAAGGCATCGTCCCGCTCTGAATTATCCGAACTCCCCGCAAAATTTTTTCCGACGGACGGGGTGATCGGAATTTTCAGAATCCAGAACAATTGGGAGAAGAGAAAACACTGGAATTTGTTTGTATAAAGGAGATGGACGGTGGCGATTCGGAGGAAGGAAGGATCTGCCACGTAGGATTGGTCGGCTGAGACCTGGGTGGCGCGTAATTAGTCAACGGTCAAGATCGAATAGAAATTATTATCTTAGATAAAATGGACACATGTTTAAATTGAAACTTCTATTTGTGATATTGAAAATTTTGCACAGATTTGGCCCTAATCTGTTTAGAGAAAAATCGTGTTACGTTATTAGAAAGATTTAAAAAATCACTGTAAAATTTAAAATGTTGTTACTAAAAAATTGTAATTGGCAACATTTCCCAAAAAATTTAACCTTTTAATTCTGGAAAAATGTGTGATATGTTGAATGATCATATCTCGTATTTTAATTTAGTTATTTACGAGTTAATATTTTTTTGTTATAAAATGTTATATATATCCGATTTGGTGTTAAGTTTTGATATTTCATTAAAATTAGTAGAATTAGATTTTTATTTACAATTTTTAGAAAAAACTGTTTAAGTTTTTATTTTATTTTATTTTACCGATCACATTTTTTTCGGGAGAAAATGTTGTCATTTGTTCATCAACGTTTTCAGAAATTATTCTCCAGCTCAAAGAGAATGATTTCCCAAAAAAAAATCGATTTATGCACATATATGTACACACACACACAAGTTGCAATTGAATCTATCTTCAAATGTTTGTAGATATCGGTATTGCTAACGTAGATTAAAAAATGTAATAATGATTTTTATATTAAGTTTGATTGCACTAACAACATACATATATAAAATGATACAACATTATGGATTCGAGCTAAATGGACACTCTTTTATTTGAAAGAATTCTAAATCTGTGTTTCTATTTAAGATAATATTTTTTTAATAATGAAATATATATTGTAATTCTATCAAGCAATTCATCGTGTAATATAAAGATAGTTTAGTACATACTATATGTTTAATATGTCACTAATACTATAGTGTAAAGTAAATCGCAATAGAACCCCAAATGTTTCGTCTCCTAACAAATTTCGATTTTATTTTTCAGTTAATTTTTCGCGCATTAAATAATTCAAAACAAAAAAACACTAAAAAAATTACTTTTTGCATAGAAAAAAGGTTACAATTTTCTATTGAATTTTCAAATTCAAAATTTCTCTTTTTAGTTAAATTTCTCGAATTTTCATTTTAAAGTTACATATAATTTCAATTTTCCGAATAAATATGGTAGCATATATATATATATATATATATCTTTATTTGATGTAGAATCTCTTACATATATAAAAGTAGAGTTATCTTTGAGGGAGTGACACGTGTAATGAGTGCTCTATATAATTCAATCAAAAATATAATAAATCAATTAGAAATATTATTTGAATATGTATGTAATTTGATACATGCAATTTAAATCTATCTATCTATATATATAAAAGTTGAGTTTAAAACAATTTGGTGAAGCCACCTCATCTCCACCTCATTATCTACATGACATTTTTTTTAATTTTTTATTTATCATTCAAAAACTCCTTAATTATATATAAATTGATTAGATTATCATTAATTTTTAGACATAAACAATAACGTTTTGAAAATATAAAAGCCATGTTATACAAAAAAAGAAAAAAACACTAAATATTTATGACAAAAAAAATATTTTAACAAAAGCGTTTTCATCATATATGACATTTATTTAAATTTTTATTTGTCATTTAACGAAAACATCATCTCTCTTTTTATATAATAAAGGGCTGATTCATATTTTAATGAATATTTTTATATTACATTACATTTAAAAATCTTATCTGGTTAGCGGTAATAGTATTTACACATGAATAATCATTTCTATAAGGTAACAATATTTACACATAAATAACACTTTTTATAAAATGATTTTATCAAAAACATTTACGCATTGATTATAATATTATATTTCAGTGCATTAAAAAAAAGAAACGGGTGTGTATGAGTAAATGAATAAATTCAATTTTGTTTTTATTACATTCATTATTGTAATTTCCAATTATATTGCATATTAGAGTAAAAAATTAAAACGCATCAACATAATTTATTGCCCCACTAATCACTGTATTTATTATTTGGATGTTGCTTAGGTTTGGTTATACTAAAAGTCACGTAGCAAAAATTTACAATATAAATAAATGACATATCAGTATTTACATGGAAGTTTTTGTATTTCTCATTGTTTCATCAATTTCTCTAAAAAAAAATAACGTTCTGTTGGGGTAATTGAAAAATTCATTTTACCTTTAAAATCATAATTGTAATTTATTGCATTAAAAAAACGTAGGCTCTAAAACGTGGTATTCATTCCTCCACCAATAATCATATAAAAACGTGATATCCTTTTCACATGTAAGCGCAATTAATAAGAACAGATATTCGAAAAAACAAACAATAACGATAAAAAAATAAATAACTCCGCGAAAAGTCTACGACGGTGTGCGCATCGTTCGAGCGATGGAGGAGAGAGACGGCGGCGGCGGCGCATTGAATTATGAGGCAAGTGTATGCATTGGAGGATTTGGGGTCGGGATTTGACGAGGGCTATAGGGATATCGAGATCATAGGGTCTTGATTTTGGTGGAGATGAGTGGAAATGAGGATTCTTCCGGTGTTATTTTTATTATAGGAATGTACTTCAAAATGTTTTTTTATTTGATTAAAGTTTTTTTGTTTTTATGTGAAAAGTCATATTTCATTTACATGGTATATATATACACATTTTTTGGATACCTGATATTTTTATAAATAATCAATTTCAAATATATGAATCATATATTTAGAGAGTTTAAACAACATATGAAAGAGAGAGAAATAAACACTTAGAAAACACGAGGTCCTAAAAATGGTGGAGTTTTATTGGTTGGACCATATATAAAAAATGATTAGTTTTAATAATAAAATATGATAAAATTAAATTAGAAGAATTTTTTTAAAGGAGACATGAATAACCAAAAATGAAATGGTAAGAGAAATTTCTTTCAATAAAATTAACACTGAAAACATCCAGAAAAAAAAATAGACTTCGATCATCACATATGGTTACGATGGATGATTTCGAGGTTCAAATACAAACAAATGAGATGCATGTGCAAGCGGAATTCAAGTTTGCAACTCATTGGTGGTATAAGGAAAATGACTACATGTATATATACACATGCTACATATATATAATATGATTTTGAACTTGATAGAAAAAATTATGTATATCTCCACCTATATATATATATATAAATTGAACAATGGTGGTATTTAGATTTGCAAATGCATGTGCAAGAATTTTTAGAGAGTTCCACCATTTCGGTCTGCTTAACAGGACAGTAGGTCCGAGGAACTTGAGATGGTCGTTGCACAGGATAACACCATTACATACGAATGAAAAGCTAAGGTCAAGGTTGGCCGATAAGTTGAACATACTCTTTCCATTACCGACGAGTCTCAGGTAAAATACATAGAAGTGATGCAACGAATAATCGATCATAGTCTCGCCTTCTCACGTCCGGACAATGCAACTTTCATCATGATGGTCGGTTAGGAAAGGTGATCAATTCACTTTTTTAGATTCTTGAGTTTAATAAAATCTTTATTCATGTATATATATATATAGTTATGATTCCAATGGTTTAAGATTTTTTTTTTATGTATATATAATTATTAAGAATTTTCTTATATAAAAATAGTAATTCAAAATTTATGATACAATATTTTCTAAATAATTTTTATTTCTTTAAAAAATGTCAATGTAAATGGTATTTTCGAAATACATTATTTTATTATCATAGTAAAAATTTAGATTTTTAAAATGATAAGTTTTATCAACCTACATATAGTTAACAAATAAGTATAAATTGGCCATTAAGCCAATATAAGAAACTACACTGGGAAAAATGGTAAAATATCACAATTTTATATAGATGAATATGTATTGAAATAATTTATGTAAAAATTAAGTAGAAATATTATGAATATCATATTATTCCAACGCTTTTCCAATATTATTTAATTAAAAATGATAAAATAAAGTTTTTAACAAAACGTGCAAATAGACATAACATAAAACATTCAATTTCAATACATATTCAATCACTTTATCGTTAAAACTATATACAATTATATTGACAAGCTAATTCAATATAAAAATAATTTTATAATATAATAATATAATTATATATAAATTCTTTTCTTCCATGTATATATTGATTTAATAATAGAAGGTTTGCCACATTCATATCAATGATTTTTCATTACAAAAAGGTAAAAAAATCATATTAATAACAAAAAATAAATGCAAACTTATAAAATGTAATAAATTTCAAGTTTAAATTACCGTTCAAACTAAATATACACAAAAAATAAATAGTTATTAGTTTTATACAAATAAAAAGTATTAAATAAAAAAATTAGGAATAAAACATAAACAAAACATAAAATATATGGTTAGTAGAACATTGATCAAATATAAATATCAAATAATAGATAGTTAAATAAAAGTTAATTAATTGGTTAAATATAAACATGGAGTAAGAAGTAATTTAATTAATATATATACATATGTATTTATTCGATTTTTTACTTTTTATATGGGTGAACTTAAATTAACATTTACAAGTGAGGATGTCATGACTTGGTAAAAAAAACTCATAAATACTGATCTATATATATTTCTTTAATAAATATTTAGAAATCTCAACCCACTTAATTATTTAGTCTGTTTATTTGATCGCGTATTTGTACAAATGAAATCATTAACTGAGCTCCACTTCAACCACCTGCTCTGCTCTCTCCGGGCAAGTTTCATCCTAATTCTTACATTTAGATAAATACCATTTATCAATTTTATACCCAAAGAGAAATGTAATTTCATAACTCGCAATGATGTGTATACGTTTATCAATTCATGCACCCCCTATTATTATATTACTCGATGTACAAAATATAAAAAAGATATATATATATATATATATATATATATA